TTATCATAATGTAATTTATAGTATAATGAGCAGGTATGAAGAATCACTAGCAAATTTAAATAAATTATTAAAAATTGATCCAAATAGTGCATTTGTATTGGTAATTTGTAGAGAAATTTATGCATAATGAATAGATATAAGGAATCACTAGTAGATTAAAATAAGTCTTTAGAAATTGATCCAATTAATACATCGTTAAATTATACTATCAGATACCAAGATAGTAGATCATAGCTTTGCCAGTAACACTACAGATAAATACTGCAAGATGTATAGCCACTATTAGCTCAAAGCTTGGAGATGGTCATCAGATAGATTTTACAAACAAACCTTTTGATGATGGTTAAGTAAATTTGTTGAGCACTAAATAATACATATAAATATATTTGAACTCAGACTAGTTTGCAAACTTCAGACCAGACCCAGACTAAACCTACAATTGAGTCTGAGTCTGGTCTAAAGTCTGAAATTAGTAAAATTTAAAGTCTGAGTTTGGTCTAATCCCAGACTAGACTCAGACTAGACCAAACCCAGATCAGACCTAGGAGTACTAATATAAAGTATAGATCATTCTGTATGTTTAAAATGCAAAGAAATATTAATTATCATTATTTTTTTTTTAGAAATGATATATAATTCAGATTGTATATTATCATCATCGGTTATCATAAGTTCTCTATTAATATACAACACAGAATCTTTTTGTGCAGAGGTAGTTACATTTGTTAAATATTGTACAGATGCAAGGTGATAGCATGTGATATTGATGTTATTGTTGTTTTGATCAACATAATTTCTGGTTATAATATCAATAACTACATCTTTATTGTCGATTTTTGGGTCTTCTCGAACCATTGCAGTCATGTTGATTAATATTGAAGACACAAGTAAATTGTTAGGGTTGAGAGTATTGAAGCAAATAATATTATTCAAAATAATCTTTTTTTTTTTTATTAAAAAAAAAAAAAAAGAAAAGTTAATTTATTTATTATATATCCTCATATTCATAATGAAAGTAAGATACTTTTAAAATAGGATATCTTCTGTTATTTTGGTCTATATTTTCGATGATGCAAAAATTTCTGGTAGCAAGTATAATATCTTTGTCTTTAAACTCAGGCAAACTCAATTCTTGAATAGCATCATCGGGATAAAATCTAATTAAAATAATATTTAAAAGATAATTCAGACTTCAAAACCTTACAATACCAGAAGCTTCAACTATTGAAAGATTTTTAGTAGAAATTGGTTTTTTTCGATAACTTGTCATATAACATAATATAGTAACAAAAGCAGGCATTTTTTTTTTAATTATTGTTAGTTGAACAAAGAATTGAGAAAAAAAAAAGTTGAAAAAAAAATAGTAAGAATCGAGACTATTTATCATTTAGTAATAATTTGCTTATTATAATTTATTATAATTTAGATCAGATGGTGATAATCATCATAATTGAATAGCATTTTAGAAGAAAAACCAGAATTATAGCAAGAAAAGAATAGATAAGAACGATGATAATTCATATGATTGTAATATGAGAATATTATATATTTTTACATATATATTTTTTTTCTGCAAGAAGAAAAAAAAAAAATTTAGATGTTTGGGATAATGTGCATATTATGAGTGTATAATATGTTATTTTAAGTCACCTGTATATTATTTAGATATGCTTATATGTATCATTTCAAGTTCAATATCATAAAATCGGGTGATATATCATATGAGTATCATCAAGGAAAAAAGACACCTCTATTTTTTAATCAATTATTGAATCAATAAATAATTGATTAAAAAACAAAGATGCTTTTTTCCTTGGCAGTATTTATATAAACGCATGTTATTTTAAGATGTTTTTTAATTTTATTTATATCAGTTAAACAATTAAAAAACAAATTTTGATTCAGGATATTCTCAAATGCTTTTGAAAACATGCTTGAAACTAACTTTTAATTAGTGGAAAATATTTTTAATTGATCAACCAAGCTTGTTATTAAGCAAGAGATTGATGCTTGAGAACACTCTTAGATAAATAACTCGATTGTTTTTGTAGATCTTAAGACATATAGATAGCAAAGGCTTTTTTGGTATTTGTTAAAGATAAGAACAATGATAATTCATATGATTGTAATACAAGAATATTACATGTTTTTACAATTTTTTTTTTTTATATAGTTTTATATAGGAAGAAAAAAAAAATTTAGATGCTTGAGATAACGTGCATATTATGAGTGTATTATATGCTATTCCAAGTCATCCGTATATTATTCAGATACGTCTATATGTATTATTTCAAGTTTAATATCATAAAATCAAGTAATATATTATACAAGTGTTGTCAAAAGAAAATGGTACCTTCGTTCTTTAATCAATTATTAAATCAATAAATAATTGATTAAAAAATGGAGGTATTCTTTTTTCTTAGTAGTACTCATATAAGCAGCGCATGTTATTTCAAGATGTTTTTTAATTTTATTTATATTAGCCAACCAATTGAAAAACAAATTTCGATTCAGAACATTTTCAAATGCTTCAATTAATAGGTCAAAATATGTTGAAAATATGCTTGAAACTAAATTTTAATCAGCAGAAAGTATTTATAATTAATCAACCAAGCTTGTCATTAAGCAAGAGGTTGATGTTTGAGGACAATCAACTTGATTATTTTTGTGAATCTTAAGACGTGTAGATAGCTAAGACTTTTTTGGCATTTGTTAATCATAAATAATACAAGATTAAACTCGAGTTAGCATGAGCTATGTAATAAATTTGTTATAATCATTATAAGTAAAATTCGTATTCTCTATTATTACATATTTGTATAAACTTGAAATAATATTCAGAAATATAATTTGAATTTTGGCCTAATTTGAACTATTTTTATTTAAAACAATATTATTAGAGTGTTTATACGATAAAGTATTTACCAAATTCAGATAATCAATTTGATTATTTCGCGAGTTACAAGGTATACAGATAGCCAGATATTTTTTTGCTTAATTAAATTAATAATAATAGTTAGAATTAACATAGAAATTTTGATTTTTCAGCTCTATAAAGGGTTACAGACTAAAATCCTGACAAACAAAATCTTGACAAAAATTGACCAGAATTATGGTTAATGTGGGCTAGGTTCGTCATGATTATGATCTCGTTAAGACTTTGTCAGGATTATGACTCTATCAAGACTTTGTTAGGATTTTAACCTGTAACTTCTATAATCACTTTTTGACCAATTTAATAATTTGGGAGGTTTTTTTTTTTTGTTTATTTATTTTTTTTTTAAAAAAAAAAAAAAAAAAGTGATAAGTCTGAGTTGTTGCAGGCTAATAAGATTCGTTATAATCACTATAAGCCGAAATCTGCTTATTTTTTTTATTCATAAAATATTAAAAAAATATATATTTATTAATTGAAAAAAAAAAAATTTGTAATCAAAAATTGATCTGATACACATACCGGGTTTTACTAGATCATAATCCAGATTCTGTTCTCTTTTTTCTATCAATTTTTTTTTTTGATAAAAAAAAATACATAAGTTGCATTTAGAAAAGATCAACAAATTCTTTCGCTACAAACATTATTTGTATAGTCTTTGATGATCAGTGATTATCATTTCATCTAACTTATAAAACATTCGACAAAAAAAATGAAAAAAAATGCCAATCATTATCACAAACATAAGTAAAAGCCATAAATCAGTAAATGTAAAGCATTTGTTACCGTTTAATACTGTATCCTGACCTTTTTTTTTGTTACAACAGCATAACACTAGCGATAGCAATTTATTTTTGCAAAAACTATTACAGTTTGCAAAAGTAATTACATTCATATAAAGTGATAGCAAATCGCTATCAACCTCTTACAAAAATGACAGATGGAAATTTCTTTTCTCAGAATTACGAGAAAATTTTGGCCGTAGATTTTCTGTACAAAGCTGTCACAAGCTATAAAAAAATCACATAATCTAAATGTTTATTAAGTTTACTCACAATCATCGCACTACATGTATATATACGGAAAAAATGATTTGACAAAATTAAAAATCTTTAATTATTGTTTTTCTAGTGATATTTTTGATTTATACTTGAGTAAATTTAATTATTTTTGATTTATTGTTTAATTATTTTATAGTATTTTATTTTTAGTTTTAAACTTTTCTTATATTTTTCTTCTGTAAACACATTTCTTAACCACTTTGATATGTTAAATCAAGTAATATATTTGTTTGACTTAACTGGTGATAACATATTTATTATTGATATTTAAAATTTGGTTAAACCAAACAGACATATTACAATAGAATAACAAGTGTACAATACGTATACAAATAAAGGCTAATCTACTTTATAATCTACTTTTGCTTGTACTAATAAAGAATCACTCGATCATTTAAAACAAGTACCTATTACTCCGCTATGCTGAGGAAGTTGAATAATTCGAGTTTATCACGTGAATTTTATTTTAGAATTTAATCCAATATAGCAAAATTTAAATACGTATATAGTAGTTTGTAATACTGTATATAATTTATACGTAATTAACAATTTTTTAATTTTGACGTATATATTAAAGTAAAATTTAAACTTTTGTAAGATTTTTTTTTTTATGTGTATATATTTCTATAAAAAATACATTATTAAAGCAAATTGGTAGAAAAACAGTTTAAGGAATACTGTAAATATTAAAGTTAGAACATGGTTTGCTTAATCTAACATTTCGTGTTAAATATTTTAATCTTATGAGGCAGTTGCTTGTTTCAAATAAGAAATCACATCGTTACGATCTTGGTCCTTTTTAAATCCTGCGAATGCCATTTTAGTTCCGGGAATATATCTAAACAAAAACCATTAATTAAGAGAATAATACATGCAATCAAATAGTTTCAACATTTATAGTTACTTTTTGGGATTTTCGAGGAAGTTGGTTGATCAGTTAAAGGTCTTGGTCAGTATCTAAAATTTAATATCAAAGCTGTAAGTAGACCGCATAT